TACTTCCACATACTTAACGCGGTCTGGCTTAGCTCAGTGTGAGACGTAAATCAATCAATGGCTTTGTGCACTGTCCTCCTTTGAGCTACGTAAGTTCTCGCCTACAAAACTCTTTCTCCCGAATGCTTCGTCGGAAACATCCTGCCATGATTTTTCACTCTAACCCTAATTTCTCTCTATATTGTCGACCCTACGCCTTTGGAAATGTTTTGATCGGAGCCAACCATACTTCTGCTCGCTTTTGTTCTCGATAATCTTCCTTCGCTTTCTTGTTTCCATCTTCATTTTCTTTTGGTTTTCTTCGACTGTGATCGTGCATTTGAAGCGTTGGTTCTCCGGCAAGTGTAAACACCACGGGTTCCGCCATGCGAAGGTTTCTTTCTCTGAGGAATTTGGTTAGGGCACTCCTTATTCCTTTACTTTTCTTAGTTGCTCATTTTTCTTACGTCGTTATTACCACTGGCGAGTCTTGTGTCACTGGAAATTTCTGTTTCTCGCCCAAAATTTCCAAGTATCTAGCCTCCGGCTTACATCCCAGAGCAAAGGCGATAATCGATGGCGCAGCTCCCACAGCTGAAGAACTGTTGCGTCGTGATCTTTATACTAGTAAAGGTTGGATCAAGGCCGTTCAGTTTTATTCTTCAATCTTTCAGGATCTGATCTCCGTAGGGTTTCTTTCTCACAAATCGAAATCTCTGTGCGTGGAAACCCCCAACGGGCAGGATGTATTTTCCTTGAAACAGATTGGGGTCTCGGATTCGATTGGAATATTCAAGAAAGCCTCTAAGCCTCTGGTGATAAAGGGCGGAGGACACGAGATCCCGTTCGCTGATAATACCTTCGATTTTATTTTCTTGGGCGTCGGCCGCCTTGATCATTCATCCCGGCCGGCAGATTTTTCCAGGGAAATTGCTCGGACGCTGAAACCCGAAGGGTTTGCTGTTGTCCAAATTAGGGCTAAAGATACGTACAGCTTTCACTCATTCATTGATTTGTTTAATTGCTGCAAAATAGTTACATCACAGGATATAGATGGCCCTGATTCTTCTATGCCTCTCCTTCGCCAGATTGTTCTGACGAAGGAGAGTGATGATATTCTTGGACAGGGTGAAGTGCTAACGCTTCGCCCAAAGTCTGATGGTAAATGTTCGGTCCCCGCATTTAAGGAAGAATTGGTACGAAAGGCCGAACCATTGATCTTAGAGGAGCCACTGAAGCCATGGATTACATTGAAGCGTAATATTCAAAAGATAAGATATCTGCCATCAATGGCCGATATAAGCTTCAAGCAGAGGTACATTTACGTTGATGTGGGAGCAAGGAGTTATGGCTCTAGCATAGGAAGTTGGTTCAGGAAGCAGTATCCGAAACAGAACAAAACCTTCGAAGTTTATGCCATTGAAGCCGATAGAATTTTCCATGAACAGTACAGTTCAAAGAAGGGGGTCAAGCTGTTGCCCTACGCAGCTTGGGTGAGGAATGAAACTCTGACTTTCGAAATTAACAGAGACCCAGGTCAGAAGGTTCAAGATAAGGGAAGGGGAATGGGTAGGATTCGACCGGCGATAGCATCAACGAGGACTTTCGACGGCGAAGTGGATGAGATTCAGGGCTTTGATTTTGCTGAGTGGTTGAAAAATAGTGTAAGTGAGAAGGATTTTGTAGTGATGAAGATGGATGTGGAAGGAACGGAATTCGAATTGATTCCGAGATTGTTCGAGACGGGTGCTATTTGCTTGATAGATGAGATATTTCTGGAGTGTCATTACAATCGGTGGCAGAGATGTTGCCCAGGCGAGCGAAGCGCAAAATATGAGAAAACTTATGGGCAGTGCTTAGATTTGTTTACTTCCTTGAGGCGAAGTGGAGTTCTTGTTCACCAGTGGTGGTGAAACATTGTGTACATGGCCGTTTGTTTGCTTCATCCGCCACTCTCCCTCTCGCACTTCGTCCTAAACTGGTTAAAGTTTGGAGCTGTAATCGAAGGCAGGAACAACGGGTGGTGGTGATTGGTGGGCAATTCGACTTCCTATATCAGTCAACGTTAAGGAACCCCATAAATTACCCTTCTTCTTCATATTGGATGTACACTTTGGGCTAATGCGCCCTTCGTTGAAGCTGTTGTGCTATTTCTTACCCCCTAGATTTATAGTAGGTTATAACCATTTCCCAATATTACCAATATTTACTTCACATTTTCGTGTCTCATGTTTACAATAAACACTCTGAAATCCGAACTCCTTCAAGTCCTTTTAATTAAAGGCCGCTTTAAAGTGCTCTCGACCCAGCTTGGTAACAAACTAGGCAGGCATCTCTAAGACTCTGGCACATACATACTCTTTGCCACGAACGTGTCCGACATGCATTTCGCCGCATATGTCTTGTTCTTTTGGGTGCATATATCTGTTATTTTTTAGGCTCTGGGGAGTAGGGACAGAAACAACTAGCTAGCCGTTGGTTGAAATCCACTTATCCCCACACAGAGTTGGAATATAGAATCGGATAAAACAAAGCTCTTAAAGAACTCTCATCTTTTCTTGTCATTTGTACAACCAATTTGGTTGATATGGACCAAATTTCATATTCACTGCCCGTTTCTTTTCATCTCAAAGGGGGAGTTGGATATAGAAATTTTAGCTTACTTCTCATATATTATTATACTGAACAGTTTGCCTCGACTAACTTAAATATTTTATCTGTGTTGTGAGAGAAATGGAAAGGCAGCCGGGATGGAGGAGAAATCATAAAATGCTGGAGGCTTGTAACGAAAATGGCATCCATGTCATTGTAAGTTCTGTATGCTTCTTACTTCATATGATAATTATTTGGAAACTATGCTCTAATTCAGCCAATAAAATTCAATCTTCTATCAGTTCTAGGTGCCCAAATATTTTGTTTAAAATAATTCATCTAAGTTTCTTTGTAGTGTTATCATTTGTTTTTGGGTTCCTCCATGTCTTTATAATAGGCTGAATGGTATTTCATTTTGATTGTACGAGTTGTTGATGTAAAAGCCCCAATCCCACTTACCCAAACAACCTCTGGGCCTCTATTCTTAGCCCATATTCATCACCACATCACACTTAGGGGTATTAGGAATTCTGAAGTGCTATCATAAATTCACAATTTTAGAGGTCATCAAACACATTACACAAAAATACAAAAACACAAATTCAAATTTATTTCAATCCTCAGCTCCATCTTTATTTCATGATAAACTTGTTTTACTTCATAAACTCAGCATAAAAACCTTTTTTTGCCCTTATTTTAAAAAAAATGTGTGAATGTATTAAAAGCCTTATTTTAATGATGAAAAGATAAACTCAACCTAACAAAAATGACATATTTTATTGTACCCAATAATATTAATGGAATATAAATTTGAAAAAGAGGCCAAACACTATTTTAATGTAATGTTTCAGTAGGGCCATCCATGTGTATTGATGATAAATTAACAAAACGTGATATGTGAAGGACTGTATTTTTATCATTGACGCGTCACCTTCATAATATCTTTTGCATACTTTTTTCTTTAATTTCTTTGTGATAGTGGTAATCACTCTTGACTTTCGATTATTATTTAAATAATAAATAAATAAAAGTACTTAAATTTGGAGGAAGTGATACACGAGTTTTAAAATTAAAATCCAATGACATTATGATAACAATGTTGCAAGAACATAAACTAAACATTTTATTTTATTTTATTATGGTATGCCCAGTGTGAAATCAAAACTTCTACGCTGAAAATTGGGAGATTTTGGGGAATCTTAGGTAAGAAAAGAAAAGAAAAAAAAAAAAAAACACTTAATTCTTGTATTTTCAACTGTTCAATTCTCTTTACAAATTGGTTTTTATCTTTTTTTTTTTAAATTTTTTTTTAATTGTTGATTAGTTTTTAAAAATTTCCCTTTTAAGATAAGATGAAAGCAAGCATTAACTAAAGTGAACCCTCCGAGAGAAAGAGAAAGAAAAAGAAAAAGAAAATGAAAATGTATAATAATTTTTGTACCTAGGATGGCAAAGTGTAGTTGTCATTATCATAATTCTCGTCGGTCGTTTGTCGTTTTTACAAATGGCCGTATGAATATTTAATATAATTATTTGAAAACCAAGATATTTAAAAATCCCGTTTGACTCAGCTTCCAATCTCGTTGACCGTAGGGATTAGGCAACGAAAAACTAGATCTAGGCTTCCTGTGTGTGTTAATTAAATTAGTTTTGATGTAAATATTAAATAAAAATTTATGGAGAATGGATTTTGAGGAAAATAAAATTAATTAAACAAAAATCCATGTGTTAGTTAGCGAGGTAATCCAAATATGAAATCAAATCTTGTTCGGATTGGCATAACAACAGAAAATTGTTTAAAAGCATTTTTGGGAATTTATGAAATAAGTAAATTAATATATGATAGAAATGAAATTAATTTAGTGGAAGGATAGCTGGAGAGCATGCAGGGGTTTAGCTGTTCACAGGAATCTTTATAAATGCTTCTAGCTTGCCAATCTCTTATTTATTACTCTATACATTACCCTTCTTTCTTTCTTTCCTTTTTTTTTTTTTTTTTCCCTTTACGTAAGTGTTTATTATTTATACGTTTTTCATAATTTTTATAGTATCCACTAATCTATGATTTTTTTTTTCCTAAACTTTTGGAAATTTTTTTTGTTGTAATAGGTTAATAGGTCTAAAAGAGACAATGAAAGTTGGAAGGTTACAATTTTCAATTTTATTTGTAGAATGTCCTTTTGGTAAGAAGGAAGGGTTTTATATTAAATATTAATCACTATCTAAAGTAGTAGATCAAATTTGTAAATTCAAGTATAGCAGGGAGGGTCAGAGTTGAAGACGAGAAGGAAGAAGTTATTTTGAGAAGGAAAAAAACAAAAATAAATATAATATATTTTTGTAAGGAGCATTTAGTTTGGGGAGCAAGATGGAATTAGAGGACAAGGTGAAGGAAAGGAGGAAGGTGCCTTGAATGTGAAGACCCAAAACGCAAAACACAAAGCACAAAACAAACACAAAACACGAACGCTCACCCACCAACTTCACAAATTCCTCTTCCTATAAATCCCCCTTCTATCTCTCTCCCCCACTTCGTCCAAACTCTCTCTCTCTCTCTCTCTCCCTCTCTCTCCGAGCCATGACTGCCCAAGTGCTCCCTGAGCAAGCGCTTCAGAGCAATATTCACCTCTTGGGAAGAGACAACTCCCCTTCACTCCATAAAAGGTAATATCTAATGCTCTTTTCCCATACCCATTATTTTACCCTTATAAAAAAAAAAAAACACCTCTTTTAGTACATTGAACAGGACAAATTGTAAGTGCTTTGTATGGGTCTAAAAATTTATAACAAAAATAAAAACACAAGGGGGGGCTTATTTTCTGTGAATGTTGTTGGTTTAGATTGGAGGGCAAAGTGGCCATTGTAACCGGCGGCGCAAAGGGAATCGGAGAAGCCACCGTCAGGCTCTTCGCCAAACACGGAGCCAAAGTAGTCATCGCCGATGTGGAGGATCTCCTCGGCCAGGCTTTGGCCGACACGCTTTCTCCATCCCCAGTGTCCTTCGTCCACTGTGACGTCAGCTCCGAAGAAGACGTCGAGAATCTCATCAGCTCCACGGTGTGTCGTCACGGCCAAGTCGACATAATATTCAACAACGCCGGAGTTTTGGGGAACCAATCAAAGACTCACAAAAGCATCGTTGACTTTGACCCCAACGAGTTCGAGCGCGTTATGCGTGTGAACGTCAAAGGCGTTGCCTTGGGGATTAAGCACGCGGCGCGCGTGATGATACCGAGAGCCACCGGATGCATAATCTCGACTGCCAGCGTGGCAGGCGTATTGGGCGGCCTCGGCCCACACGCTTACACTGCGTCCAAGCACGCCATTGTCGGACTCACCAAGAACACCGCCTGCGAGCTCGGGCGCTACGGCATACGTGTCAACTGCATTTCGCCGTTCGGGGTTGCCACGTCGATGCTGGTGAACGCGTGGAGGGCTGATGGGGACGAAGAAGACGAATGCATGAACTTGGGGATTCCGTCGGTAGCTGAGGTGGACAAAATGGAGGAGTTCGTTAGGGGTTTGTCCAATCTGAAGGGCCCCACATTGAGGCCGAAGGATATAGCGGAGGCCGCGCTTTATCTCGCAAGTGATGAATCTAAGTACATCAGTGGCCATAATCTCGTCGTTGACGGTGGAATTACCACTTCAAGAAATTGTATTGGCTTGTAATCTTTTCTTCTTTTTCTTTTTCTTTTTCTTTTTCTTTTCTTTTTCTTTCATTATTATTATTATTATTATTATTTTTTTTTTTTTGCGGGTATTGGTGGAAAGAAAAAGATGGACACCGATATGCCTGTTGGTTGTACTATTATGTAGTAGGACTAGGATTAATTTAATTTTAGTTTTAATTTTTTCAATTGGGGTTGGCTGTTCTATAATTACTTGGAACTACGACCGGTGGATTTGCAAATGTTAGTTACTTTTATTAATTTTTAAAAACAAAACAAATGAAGAAAAAAAAAATTAGTCCAGAAACAATTTAATTTTAAAAGAAAAAGTGTGTGATTGTGGGGATGAACAGCTACGAAGTATGGTAGGGCGGGCGGTAGAGTTTGAATATAAATCATTTTCACAAATTGTATAATTGTATGGGACGGCATTAAATGGGAAAGATGGGCAGAATTTTGTTGGAGGTTTGGTTCTTTAATATTTATGACAACGTCAAACCATATATATATATATATTAAGAAAAGGAAAAAATAAAAAATAAAAATCTACGTCATGTCGTAGCATGATTGGATAGCAAGCGATTGGAGATCCTTGTCGATTAGTTTAAGGCTGACCATATCTTAATTTCATAAAAGATATTATTTTTATTCCTGTTTCTAATGGTAAACTACATTTTTTTTTTTTTACAAAAATTTCAAATGATGAATATATAGTATGAGACACCGGAAATAATATTGATTAACAAAAAAAAAAAAAAAAAACTAATGATTTAAAGTAAAAATTTAGTACATAATATCGGCTAATTCTATAAGAATTTATAACAAATATTTATGTGCATATAAAAAGTAAATAGTTACTATACCTTTGGACATCGAGAAGGAGATGTTCGGTTTGTTTTTGTCTCTTTGGAAGTATATATATATATTAACATGAATTATTGGCGTGACACATTCACAAGAAAGTTAAAAACAAACTGAAAATTAAAGTACAGACTTTGAATACAAGGAAAACAAATTTAGTTGAGAATGTGTTCAAATTAAGAGTACGAATTTTCATCCACATTACGAAAGGCAAGTCCATTTATGTGAAAGTGGGGCATATGTCACAATTTTTATTTATTTATTTTTTTGTTTTTGAAAAGAAGGGGTCATCATTGTCATTCAAAGGATTAGGTAGTCTACCAAAGAAAACAATGCCTTTATTTATTTTTTATTTTCCTATTACATTGTTCAATGCTATGTGCTGTACACGGTCTTATTTTAGTACATTAATGTCCTAAATTTTAAAGGTTAAAAGGTGAGTATAATTTTGAGGGCTGAGTCTATTTGATTATTGACTTTTAATAGCATTTAATAGACTTTTATTCTCCCAATTTTTCAAATGTTGTTTATAATAAAACCTTGACAATTTTTTTTTAATAAAGAAAATAAAAATTTCTATTAAATACAAATTTAAAATCTTAAACTTTTAATTTTATATCGGATAAAATCGTAGATTAAAAGAAAGTTGAAATATTGCGAACAAAATATATAATTTAACCTAGAAGTTATATACATACTATAATGTTATATACAAACATCGGCATCATCATGAATATCTGTTTTGCAAACCATAAACATTAATAATTATAGGATCAATTAAATGTGAACTATATATGGTCTCATATAACTAACTTAACAAACCACTCTTCTAATGGGTGCTTTTTGATTAAAAAAGAAAAAAAGAAGAAAAGTTTTCAAAAGCAACCTCTCTTGGGTAAGCAATTTACAAAGACATTAGAGTACTTAACATTTTTAGAAAGTTAATAAAGTCTATTTGGATTATACGATCTAGAAATTACTATTATTTTAGAACACAGACAAACAAAAAAGAAAAAAAGAAAAAAAGAAATAGAAGGAATGACTGACATCGCATTCATGAACATTTATGAACAGTCAGCCACAACGAGGTGGGCATATTTCGAATTAATTTTAAAGACCTAATCAGCAATTTATCCATTCCAATGGCATAATAAAATAATTGGAAATAAATGGGGGAAAAGATCAAAGGTCAAGGAGAAGGCAAATGCAACTGGAGAAGACAGCCCTCTGGGAATTGGAGGGGCGTTTCCCTCGGGAGAAAGGTAATAAGCGACCGCTCCATAAAGAGAACAAATGGGGCTCAGAGGCTGTCATGTTGGGGGGTTTATAAAAAATAAGAAAGAAAGAAAGAAAGAAGCAGAGAAGGTAGCTACGATTGGGCAGTGAGGGAGGCAGGGTCACAGACGGGGGTGAGAGAAAGAGAGAGCTGGACCATAAATAATAAATAATAAATAATAAATAATAATAATAATAATATTCCTTAACCTTTACTGACTTTAGTTACCCTCAAACCCAGGCTGGACCATCGTGCAGGGGATGCTTCCTTCTCTCTTATCTTTCTTTACGTTGTTGGGGCATTTTTATTTGGAGTGGACAAACAAAAAGAAACAGAGTACAGCAAGCTGAGAAAAGAAAGAATATGCCAATTTTGGTGTGGAAGAGAGGGTACGGAACATGCCCTTTTCAGAAGAAAACATGGGAGGAGAGAGCATTTAATTTGCAATTAAACAACTTTGATATCTCTACAACTGTGATAGAAAAGACACAGAAATGAGCCAACTTATTATAGGCAGTGTGCAGTGGTGAGAATCCACGTGGTGACTCTGTGTTCTTTTTTTTTTTTTTTTTTTTTTTTCATTCTGATAACACGACC